CGAATGCACTGGACTGATACTGATGCCAAGTAAGTCCTTCATGCAAGGCTCAGTAGGCAAATCACGAGCTCCTGCCTCTCACAGCAGGCATAACTGAGCTTCTTGGCTTCCCTCTTGCCATTTCCAAGTGGTAGCCTTATTAGGCTGATAACAGCGAACCCACACAGGATCGGTGGGAAGCTGATCATCACAGTGTGACTTACGAGCTGACAACTTTCACGAACCATTTGGAAGGATAACCCCAGGAGAAGAGCTGATTATAACGACGAGCTATGCAGGCAACTGTCCAGAGCCCCAGGTGGTGGTGTAGTGACTAGTCTAAATTAGGTAGAAGTCATAGATATTCCAAAACATATATGGCAGTATAAACCCATAGGACAGTTCTGCCTAGGATCGCCCTTCAGTCTAAAACTGGCGGTAACCATAAAACTCTCAACCTCACAAAAGAAGAATGAGAAAGTCAAAGGACACAAAATACTTCCTGCAATTTGCAGCAGATGGGAACTGGGAGGATGGCAGTGAGGTGGGAAGGCTGATGTTCACGTTCACGCACTAATGCTAACGTGGACTTGGACCAAACCATATAGTAATAACTGGAAAAATAATTCCCAAACTTAAACTGAAATGGACAAGAAATCTCAAATATTTGTAACCAGGAAACTTAGGAAGGAATATGACCTTGCTTGATTTAGTCCTACTGCCACGCCATGAGAAAATAAGAATCACGGTACATATTGTAAATTGCTTAGGTGTTTTGAAAACTCCTACCTCTCCATAAATGCCCCACAAAATCATCTGTGCTGTATGTCCCTGAATATGTAAACTGCACTCAGCAATCAGATGCCCAATTCTCATAAAGGACTTAGCTCCGCTAAGAGCTGAAGATACTAACCTTCAACATCCATCTCCTTCCCTTCTGTGACTACATGTATCTGGAAACAAAAAGCTACAAGTTTCCAAACACTGGGTAAGAAACAAATAGGATGTGGAAAAGGAATTTGTCGTATCAAGGAGAATACCGTATTCTTTCAAGAGACAAAAAGGGAGCGAATCCCGGGCTTCACAAAGAGCCCAGAAAACTCAGAAATGCTCTCTGTCTGTCCTCCTGGGAAACTGCTTATTTTTTCGTGCTTACATCTTAAAACAAGAGCTCCCGGATTTGGAAATTGGCAAGAATTTGTGTGCAACAGCTCAAAATGCCAAGAAACGTTCCAAAATGGAGATCTGTGAGTAATTAAATTAAATTCAGCTTACTTAATTTTAGACAACAAACATTGCATTTCACTCAGCAAAAGCCAAAAGAAATATTGGTCCTAAAATTTCTTCTAGCATAGAACTCCTAGTTCATTATAGCATTCCATGTAGTTCAGAGCAGGAGGGGCCCTTACTAATCAGTAAATAACTGATTTACTGCAAAACAGACATGCTTTGAGGTTTGGCTTGGTATCAGGAAATAGACCTTTCTGACAGCACTTAACATTAGAGCATATTTGTGTCATCACATTTGTTCATCTGAATTTGAAATTCAAATACAATATTTTGAGGAAAGCAAGAGTTTTCAAGTGCTAAGATCAATTTATTTCTGGCCTGGTGAGCATGTAAAACTAACCAAAATAAATGTAGTGGGGAAAAGAAAGGCAAAAAAAAAAAACAACATTAAAAAAAAGACACTCTGTTAACCCTTCAGAGGGGTTACTCAAGAGTAATGGTGATGTGCAACAAGAACTTCAGTATAAATGACAGAAATCCTGAAAATAACCAAGCTTTTGAAGACTGATTCCTGCCAATGCTCCCCTGTTCATTTAAACAATAACTTGAATATTTATAATGGACCATAATGATGTTTGGCTTCTTTGGTTCTACTGACACCTTGCACTACCTGCCATTTTCCCTTTTTCGGCTGACAAAGATTCACTTCAGGAGACGAATCAATAGGAGAGTTTCAATCAACACTCACCCCTCTGATGATGAATTTTATCATCTAACCAATCTGTGAGGCTTTCTCCTGTCCCACAAGTCAAATGTCAATCAAGTTTAAGTGCAAGTGTCCAGCCAGGTCTTTCAGGAGTATCTGAATACATTAGATAATATAGCCAACATCTTAATTGACAGCACAAAGACAGAGAGGGAAGGGGCTTATATTCAGAGCAGTCAGAACTGTTACTATCTCAAGAGAAATGGTCTTTTTGCACTCTGTAGATAACCTTAAAATGCTCAGAAAAGGATGTAGAGGCACTGTCCCAGGAGAATAAGATTTCAATCACAATTTCATTGCTTTTTAGCAGATTTCCCTCATTCTAGAAATAGAAAGGGATTTTTGCAGGCTTCAAAATAATGTCTTTTTATTATGGCCAAGATACAACTCAACCCTTTCTGCTTTACCATAGTATGTACATGTCTTTCAGAACAGTTAGCCAAATATTATAGGAACACTGCTTGCAAATCTCTGTTTAAATTCTAGACAGGTGCCTCAATTGATCGTATTCAAAGCTTTTCTAATTGTGACCATCCATACAAAAAGGTTTCTGAGCTCTAAGATTGTGAGAAATGATTCTTCTTTATAGGCTAATTCACACGGTCAACACCTCAATCTTACAGCGTATCTCAAAGCGAGCTATTCCCCAAATCCCTCACAACTTCCAGGTCTCACAGGTTAAAAGTGCCTTCCATTCTCCTCTCCCTCCAAAATGAAGCGTCCAAGTGTAAGAGCGTATATGTAGTGGAACGTACAAAGAAATAATACATTTACACAGCCTTGTTTGTAACAGGGCTTCTACTATTAGTGTGAGTAAGATCCTTTGTCCTGCTCTCCTAGCTGTTTGCTGCTTCTGAAGTAACGATAGGTGGTGAAGTAGGACGCTTTGGATAGACATATGGTAACTAATAGGGTATTTATTAGGAACGACTATTAGATGGGAAACAAAAAATGGCAGTGGGGCAACCTGCACACAGATGAGGTCAGAAGGCTTTGCTGCCAGGGACAGATGAAGCTGAATGGGTTGAGGAAGAATATACAGACTCAGAATTCAAACACTTTTCTATGTGCTTATTCTTTTTTTGTTGTTGTTGTTGGAATAGTAAGAGTTATGCCAGCGCATAATAATGCAGTATTATTGTGTGGGAATCTGGACTACGCTGCTCATAATAGCGCATGCTTCCATAATTTCCAGATGCAATCACTGCAATTGGACACGCAATTATGGCAGTATTAGGGGTTATTTTGCATGCTTCTATGCATGGATATGTGAATCTTTGGGTATAAAAGCCAAATCCTTCAGAAGTTAAAGTTTAGAATAATCTTTCCTTAATGGAGCTTAAAACGTTAGGCATCATCACTCTGCAGTGTTAAATCATTGAAGTTAAAGGTAGACAAGACTACTAGGTCATTTGGTCCTTTCCCCTTGCTGATGTAGGATATCATTCATAAAGAAAATCCGAGATGCAAAAACTGCAAAAGTCTGTACCTGCTATTACTATATCTGCCCTTTTGACTCAATCCACTCTAATAGCAAACTGTATGAAATACTGTAACATTAAGGCTCTTTGAATTAAATGGCACAGTTATGTTAGCAGCTGCTACAAGACAAAGCATCCAGAATAACAAGCTGATGAGATAAAATCCCATGAGTTAGATGCCATTAAATGAGTGGTCTTGGATATGTGTATTTAGTAAGACTATGTTATTCTTACTTTTTAATTATTTTTGTTATTCTAGTATACCAAATATATGCAGTGACAATATGCGATTAACTCATTAAAATGATCATTCATGCTTGTTGATTTTACAGTATTAATGTAGATATTAATGGAGATTATCTAGTAGACAAGCGATTAAAATATTCTCTTATTTATTTTGAAGCGAAATCATAGAAAGGCAGGCCTTTTTGAGAGTAATAAGATATTTGTACTTCAGGGTGGTAGAAACACAAGACAAAGATTACTCTCGTAATGTGTCCATTACTCAGTAAAACACATTTGGTCATCTGGTATTCCTTACTCCAGGCTAATTCTCTAGATGTTCCCAAGGCCCAATCTGGTGTGTACTGAAGCCAATGGACATATTCCCACTGACTTCAGCTGATACCAGATCAAGATCCTTTTTTTTTTTCTGCTAACTCTTGCCACCAGGTTTTAATTAAGACTGATTCTGTAGCCTCTATCTCATCCTATTACATTCTTCAAACAGAAGCATTTTCTGTTGGTTAGCTATTGGCCCTTCAGAAACACCTAGCCAGCAGGAAGTAGCAGGCACAGGAACTTAGGTGAAATTTACAATATTTGACTCTGCCTAAGGTCCTACACACCTAGTGTGGGACATGTGCACTCCAGGAACCCAACATTTCTTTCCTTTTCTTTCTTTCTTTCTTTTTTTTTTTTTTCTCCAGAGGAATTGGAGAAATAACCCCAAAGCAAGCTTTGACTACAGGTTGGATATGAATAGCTCAACAATCCAGGATCATCAATATTGGTGCCAACTGCATTTGACTGCATGAAGGCAAATGGAATGAAGAATAATTTTTCAATTAATATCTTGAAGTGGCGACTAGATGTTGCTACTCTATTTTTCCCTCCTAACAGTCAAAAGCAGATATCCTTCAGACTGATAACTATCTTAGTATAAAAATGAAAACTCCCCTCAAGGCAGAGATGTATGTATTTGTAACTTTCCTGCAAATGCATCCTACAGTCCTTAAAAAGTTCATACACAAAGAGGTCCAAAGGGCATAACTCCCCACTACTGGAGTAGATACATGAAAGATATTTCACTTTCACCATATAGACATTGACTGCTGACAGTCAGTCCACTGATTCCCAAAATATCTCCAAAAGATAAAGGAACAGCCAGTATAGGCTGTTGAAGTTCGTAGCAGCCTTACAGGCAAACCTATGAGAGAAACTATGATGTCATCTGTTTCATACACACAAAAAGCAGATACGCAGTGAAAATATCTTCCTCAAATGACTTAATTCAGTGATAATTTCCCAGAGCAGCTATGTAGCTTCACCTAAATTAATGAAGCTGTGAAGGATACAAGGCAAGAAAGAAGTGACTGGCTATTAAGTGGAAATATACTTCCTTTGAATTCAAATTTAAATTGCTTTAAAAAAAAAATCAATGCAATTTGCATAATCTCCATAAAAGCAGCAAGACAAAAGAATGTAAAATAATTGGGTTTATAAACATATACACGCCATGATAACTGTAAAAAATGAAATTGGAAATGTTAGAAGAATACTGCAAATTCTACTGTATCTTCAGCAAATGTTTGTTATGTAAGGGCAGTCTTCATTTTTCTATTTTTATGTATATAGGTACAACTATATCAATCCAAAAAATCATATTAGAATTTCTAAAAGCTCCTATCTTTCAATAATCTTGACACCAAGAAAAAAAGTATGCTTATGTATAATGAAACCAACAGGCCAGAATAGCCATAAAAGAATGTGCTAACCCATCAGTTATCTACCTGTGTATGTCCATGTTTACACACCTATGCATTTACATCATTATTCAAGAATTTCACAGGCTAGCTAACTGGTTGCGTAAATCATCATGATCTGTTTGTCTTTAGGAGCATCTTGCCAATTTAATCAGCCAATATACTGATTCAAAAGCTTTTATCTCTCTTTTTCTGGCTGGCACATCTCTGTCTTCTTCTATGTGGCCCTCCTTTCTGATCTCATGGTCAGTAGTGGCGCCCATATTGTTCAGTGTCTTCAGTAACTGGTGTGATGAGATTGAATGTACCCTCAGAAAATCTGCAGATGATACTTAATTATGGGAGGTGGTTTACATGGTGCTTTACAGAGGAGTTCCAGTCCAGAGGGAACGGAGACTGAGAAACTGAAAGACTAGGCCCAGCAGAAACCTCATGAAGTTCAACAAGGGAAAGTGCTGACTTCTGTCTCTGGAGTAGAATAACCCTATGCATCAATCACTACAGGCTGGGAACTAACTGGTTGAGCAGCAGCCCTCCTGAAGAAGTTTTAGAGATCATAGGGGATACCAAATGGAGTAAGAGCTAGCACTGCAATATGGAAACTACATACCAGGCAAGTTTAAGGTGAAGCACAGCCAGCAAGTTGAAGAAAGTTATTATCCCCCTCTACTCAGCGCTAATAAGGTTGTACATAGAATACCATGTCCAGTTTTCCCCTGCCCTGTTCAGGAAGGATATTTAGAAACTGGAGAGGGCCCAGCAAAGGCCTACCAAGATAAGTCAGGGGCACAGGAAACACGACCTCCAAGGAGAAGTTGAGTGACCTGAACTGGTTGAATCTGGTAAAGAGAAGGTCAAGGGACAATCCTACAAGTAGGGCAGCCTACATGTACTTGTAGGGCAGTCACAAAGATGACGGAGCAAAACTCTTCACCATAGTGGCATATGATACAACATGGGCCACAAGAAACTCAAGAGGTTCAGAGTGGATATTAGAAAACCTTCTTCACTATACAAGTAGTGCAATACAGGAAAAGGTAGCCAGGGAGACTGTTACCTCTCCATCCTTGGAGGTTTTCAAGACCTAATAACAAAGAGACACAGCTAACCTTGTCTAAAGTTAGTGACAGCCCTTCTTCCAGGAGGAGGCTGGACTAGGTGACAACCAGAGGCCCCGTCCAGCCAACACTTCTATGACTCTGTTTTGTCATATCTAATTTTCATTCCTTTCTTTTCCTCATTCCTCAGTTCTTTTTTCCCTCATCCTTCAATTCCATCCACCTATCTCAGGATTAGTCCCAAATGTTAACGCTCATATTAAACAGCAAACTAGGAAAACTAGGAAAAAAAAACTTTCTGAAACATTGTCCAATAACGTTCAATTTATGTAAGAGTTTGTCAGAGAGTTTTGCTGATGTGTTCATTGCACACAAATCATGGTCAAAAATCACAATTGCAAATGACTCAAGAATTGCTGTATTCACACCTTTTTAAAGACAAAGACACTGTAGAACTTTAATTACTTCCCGTTCATCTTCAAGCTAGTTATTAATAAAAAACAACTGAATACCACTCAGGGGCTCATAACAGATGATGACATTAACAAGTTAGTCTTAGCCATTTTTGCCCTGTATTATTTATTACCAGCAACGATATGTTATGCTAAAAAATAGATATGAATGTGGTAACCGCTGGCAATGAATGATTGGCACTGCTCTTTACAACCAAGGCAATTAGTTTTAAGAACTCTCTCAGTATGGTTGATGCTTAGCTGAATGGATAAGTTTTAGCATAAAATATTATTTACTCACCTGTCTCCTCACTCATCACAGTTTCTTCTTCATTATCATCATCTATCCAAAAAAATGAAATAAAATAATAAGAATAGCAGGAAACATCTAAAATAAAGCAACCTATGCTTCAAATTGCTCATATCTTAGTTTGCCTCCTCCCATTTAACATCTTATGGTGAGATGTGAAGGTGGGTGGGAGAAGAAGAGAAATGCAGGGAATAAAGACAGGGAACTAAGTTCTGCTGTGACTTGCATAAGTCACATAAGAAATTGCATTGTCTTTTAAAAAAACCACAATTTTTCTGCTCTAAATGTGAAATGGATCTTGGTTTAGTTGTCAAGGTTCAGGGTCCTTTGTTTCCTGGGAGGACCTGGCAATGTTAACAGTAGAAGTAGCTACTCAGAAAAATTAGACCAAAGAACTTACTGTAAAATTTGCCAGAGAGGATTTAGGTTAAGTCCAAACTTGGGCTAGCCAAGAACTGAAGGCTTGCAATTGTTAAGACGATGTATTAAGAAAGCAGGTTCCTTTTGCAAAAAGTTACATTTTGGTATCAAAGGAATTTCTTACCATAAACTGTTTTGATGAAAAAAAATGAACAGCCCTGATTAACACCTAGGTAATTCAACTTACCAGAGCTTTAATTGTCTATTAGAGATTTCATTGATTATAGAAGTTTATGACAACTATGTTTCTAACTCGTACATACCCTATTTAAACTCTTTTAAATGGATTTGGGCATGTGCAATTTCTGTAGCCAGCCTACAAGGTTGTTTTTTTTTTAAAGCATAATATCTTTCAAACATGAGTTTGTGCAGATTGTAACCACCATTTCTACCCAAAGAAGTACTGGAAACTAACAACAGTATTGAGGTCTCAGTCTACAGGATCAGATCTTTACACTGTAAACTCCATTGAGACCCACACGCTGTGATACACGCTACGAGGATCGAAGCTCTGCTTTCATCAAGATTTGGAGTCTGAAACATTATTTTAAGTGGCATGAGAAAGGAACTCATGGTTAGTACTAGAGACCTCCACTGGGATTTATGCGTTCCAGCTACAAGCACTCAAATCATGAGCATGCAAATTTTCATGGGGACTTGTGAAAACAACAGAAGATGGATCTGCATCTATCCTTCTCCCCCTCCTATCACATTCAGACATGGTCTGCAGAGCACAAGTTTCAGACGCCAGTAAATGACAGTAGGTTACATTTTTCTTGAGCACATTTCAGTTCGGCACAAAAGATCAGGATTGAATAAAGTCACTGTACATTTTACTTCCTTTCCCCTTAATCTATAAACAATTGCTTTGGGGTTCAATAAGGCATATTGACCCCCACAATAAAATAGGAATTTGTATGTAGAAGCTTTAAGGAGTTTTGACAAGTATTTTTTGAGGAAAACGAATGAAAAATCTTGTTGAAACCAATGGGAAGTGGGCCGCTGACTTCAACAGAGACAAGATTTTTTACTGGAGTTCTGAAATTTTTCAACACACTACTCAGAAAGCATTCGGTTAACATAGAGCTTATTAATTATTCAGTTTCCAATAACATGCTCTTTCCATGGAAGCATTTATAATGACACCAGCATGATAAAATTTCAAATTAATCTAAGTCTTGACACTAAATCAGCATAATATAATATCTTAACATACATACATCACTTGGTCTTCTGTGGAAATTCTTAATTATAGTTCAGTAAAGTGACTTGGAATATGAAATTCCCAAAGCAACAGAATAGCTTCTAAGCTGGTGATAATGGACACAGACAAGAAATCTGATGTTATTAAAAAGTAGTGAAGTTATTATGCAATATAATTATGTAGAGGCAAATACTGCTTTCGTGAACTAATTGTGAATTAAGGGCTGTTTTTCTGCGAAAAGGAACTTAAGTCTCACTGAAAGGCAGTAAAGTCCTTACATCATTTCTGAAAATGATGTAGGCTAGGGTTGGGCTCCTAGCTGTTTCTGTGACATGATGTCTAGGTCACTGTGGTGCTTTTGAAAATTCTGCCCTAGACTGTCTCTGAATCTGAGTTTCGTTTTGGCACACAGCACTCCCCAGTCATTTCATGTGTCTATAATTCTTGTTCTCACACTATTAATGCATCTAGTGGAAGTGCTTCCCTATCAAATATAAAGTAGTCTCTTTCACTGACCTTGGTATGGCTGGCTGGAGTGATAAACACCATGTTTAGTTGTCAGAGCTCTATGCCAAAACCAATTATTTTAGATAAAAAATAGTGTTTTAGAAATCTTTAGCCAAAGTGCATTCATTTTCACACAAAATGAATGATACTAAAGGTAGTTTCTCAGTTACTAGCTGTGAAGAAGTAAAAGCAAGCAAAAATATATTTTCCTGAAGCTCTATATGCTTAGCCTAAGAAGAAACCAATGCCAAGATTGCTATAAATTAAATCTGTAATACCTATGTTTATTTTCCATGTTCCCCATGCATGTTTTTACCTTTTCTACAAGAAGCTTTCTAGAGGTTTGCTCTAGTTTAATATACTTATCACAGACTCCGTCAATCCCAAACAAAATTGAACAAGAGAGCCCAAGAGTGAATCTCTTGTGATGCCAGTAACATTTCTTTAAAGATACACTCTCGGTACTAGTTGCCCAAACTTACACACTTGAAAGCCCATAGGTGAGGTCCCACATACCTCTCGCCCTTACTCAAGGGCCCCTGAAAAATCCACTGAATAGGAAAACATGCTGTAGTGCATGTGTGGGTGTGTGCACACACGTGTGCCCGTTCCTGGCTATTCCTATGTCTGGAAAAGCAGAACAGCAACCTACCGCATGGTTTCTCCATTAAAGCCCTGGATTTTGGGGAGCTCTACGCAAGAAGACCTGCTGGAAGAGGAATGATAGACCTTGCAGCCTGGAGCGAGAGCACAACTGACGGTGACTCTCTGGAAGGGTCAGCCTACCCTCAAAAAAACTCCCGTCATTATTTAGAAGGCTTGGGATACAAGGAAGCCACCTACTCCAAACGTATCATATAGTTAAGAGTGTAAAATTTTCCAGCGAATAATTGGGCTAGAGTATATAAAATTAAGGTATTAGATGGGTGATGTACGAGAGAACGCTGTCCAGTCAAGTGTAAAATAATTTACAGTGGAAACTTGCCCTCTAAGTCTCGTATTATCTGGGGTAATTACATCTCTAAAGATCACAGAGCTTTACATTTGGGTGCAAGTTGCTCAGTGCATACACATTTGTTTAAGTCACAGGCTCCCTGGTAGACACATATATCAAGGGATGTCTGTTACTGTTCCATCTCCCTCTCACTTGTTACCTGCCGAGCTCTGTGAAACAGAGTGATTGCACTGTACTTCCTCCTACTGAGACAGGAGAGGATGACTTCTTCTGTCACGTACCTGTTTGGGTTTTTATCTTTTGCCTTGCTCGTCAGGTTCTTTCTCTGTCTCATTAGTTGTTCCATTCCAGCAAACACAAGCCAGATGGCCATAACCATCAGTCCGTGTTAGATTTATGTTAGGAACAGAGAGGTGAAAGGCTCTAAATACCGCCACTAATCCCCAAAGCCATTAAACCGCCTCCTCTGTGTTGCTCATACTTCTATTTGTATTGTTCTTCGTGTTAGCACGTGCAGAGTCAACACCATGCAAACACAGTTCTTTTATTTTTAAGTGTGCATGCGCTGAAGGGCTTTTACACAAGAGCCGCCTCCAAGCTGTGGGAAGCTACTCTTTTTTCTACACAGCATTCACAGCCCACCTCCCGGCCGCCCAGTGCTCCCCAGCAGCACAACACGCTAGCACCATCTTTCTGCCTCCTTCCTGCCTTCCTCTGTCTTTCCTCAGCTTCCTTGTTTCATCCTTCAGTTTTTATTCATTTCCTCAGCACTCTCCAGCTGCTTCCTTATTTCTAGCCATTTCCTTACTTCCAGCCCACCCGTGTGGCTCAGTCTCTGCTCCTTCTTGCAAGCGCCACCCCGTCTATCAAACATAATTACTGGAGGGGTTGGGTGAGCATAGCGGGACCAGGCCAAAATCCTGATGCCCAGAGCTCCCTCTGCAGCCTGTACCCACCCACACTGGCAAAAGGAGCAACGAGATGGACAGAGGCACACAGGAGGGGGAGGGGATAAGCTGGTAATCATACTGCTGATGCCTTTTTAAAAAGTTGAAAGAAACATAGACCCTTTCAGCACTGACAGCTGCAGCCATCCCTTATTTGCAGTACAAAAATAGGTGTCCTGTTGGAAAAGGTCCTGCCCTTAAGTGTTGGCCTAGTGGGGACTTCATGACCTGCCTGTACAGGTTCCACTAGAATAGCAGAGGACGTGTGCCACAGCAGTCTTGTGACGTTCAGGAAAATCGATTTCCTTTGGGAACAGTCTCTGCTTGGCCAAATATAAAGCTTCTAGTTTCAAATCTTGGACTGGGTGACAGTATGGGCCAGGGTACCAGTCTACTACAGTAACGTCAAGATACATTAAAACCACAAAAATATCAGGTTGCCATTAGTGGAAAAGACTAGCTGGGCTCTCACGCTCTGATATTTCTCTTTACCACACCTGTCCTTCTTAGACTTTGTCCCAAGGCTTCACCCACCTATCTGTGTGGTCATCTGAACATCCTTAGGAAACTTCTTAATCATAAGTCTTGTGTCTATTTTTGTTCCTTAGTAACTGAAAATCATTTCTTTTTGATAGGATAAGGCCACTGCTGCCACCCAACAGGACCTTCAGAGTAGTATATCGTCTCTCTCTCTCCTTTTCAATCTAAAACAGTCAATGTTATTGTAGCATAGTAAAATACACAAGAACACCCTAGGACTTAATCAAGACAATACCCTAGGAGCTCACGAGCTCTTTGGATTGTTTTCTTCCCCCCAGCTCAGTTCTTCACTGACTGAATGCAGCTGATTGACGCACAGAATTGAAAAAGAATGCTTTCTCTGAAGAAAAGTAAATTTGGAAATCTCTGGCAGATGAGATCAGCTAAACCCAGGCCTGACTGTTTTCACGTCAACTTGTAAAAAGCATCTTTTCTTTAAAGCTTTCCCCTAAGCTCAGTG